AGCGTCTAGATTTTTTAATGCAACTCTCATTTCTACTAAATCACTTACTATTGTGTCACTTGTTTCTCTGATACTTACTTTGTCTTGGCTTCTTTCTTGTGATAGTTTATTGATTGTCTCGTGGAAATTTTTATCGTAACTGTTGAGTCTGGATGTCAGTCTTTTCTCATTTTCTGATATACGTGTAGCAATTTGATTAGCTAAATTTGTCATCTGTTTAACCATATTTTGTTCAGAAGGTTTAAGTGTTGGTTCTTCAAAGATTTTGTTCAATATACCTCTAATTTGTAATACTAGAGCTTGAGTTTTGTTTAGACTATACATTGGTGTGACATTTTCAGTTTGTATTTCTGTCTCTCCTTGTTTAGCATTGTCACTTGTATTTGATGTTGATGCACTAGTTTCTTTATTATCACTAAAAAGTGCTTGTTCTTTCCCTTTACCTTTGTTTTTAGATTGAGTCTCACTCTGAATTGTTTCTCTTTGCTCTTTAGATTCAATGAATTGTTCTTTTAGTTCTGATAACTTACTTACAAGGTCATTATAAGGTTGTTTGTAATGATCTTGGTTATTGATTTTGTCAAGGATTTTTTTAACTTCTGTAATTTGCTCTCTTAACTCAGTAAATTTAATCATTGTATCATCATAGGATGATTTATGTAATTGGCAATTTACCTGGAATTCTCTCACTCTCAGTTGCTCACTATTCTCACATTGATTCTTCACTAAAGTTAAAGTGGGTTGTATATGTTCAACACATTGGTAGATTGCATAAGTTTTTCGTCGTATCAGGTCATCTAAATCTAAACTAGTGTTTGAAAGAGCAATAGAAGAGGAAATTTTTGAAGAAGGGTTTGAAACTAAATACGACTGGTTGAACAGTCCTTGATCGTTTACTTGGTCAAGCTCATCATCTTCCATTTTCAAGGAATCAATCGAAGGTGATACCAAATGAGCAAGATTTTCATCTAAAGGTGGCCCCGTAAAAGGAGTTTCAGTAAACAAGACAGAAGGATGATAATGAAAAGATGAGCTAGGAGGTGGAAGAACACTTACTGTTCTCGTTCTCTCTCCTTCCCTTTGCCCTTCGGGTCTTGGTCCGAGTCGTCCTTTTTCATCCTTTTCACTACTAGGATCATGTCCAACAAGTTCGATGCGTTCTCCGCTAACTCGTCGATCTCGTCGTCTCGGGCTCGCTTCTTGCGTTGGCTGGATGGGCCTGGTCTCGGGGTGTCGAAGGGTTCCATCGTTCGTGGGTTCAGATGGTATGGGTTGTAACCCGCTACTTCTTCTACCCTTGATCGATGACGTCGGCCTCCCAGGAACTCCTCGAGTTCCCGGTGGGCTTCCTTGGCTGCTCCGAGGATTTGTCGGTAGGTCGAGTTGTTGTTCGCGACTTTGGCTTCGTCCAGGTTGCGTTTGAGATTGATAATAGCCTGACGTAGTCGGGCTTCCTCTAGCTCCCGGGTTTGTTGGTACGACGGTTGAGCTGGAGGAGGTGGAGGTAGGTTGGGGTTGTTGCTCGCCCCTGGAGTCGGTTGGTGTTGTCGGTGCACTGGCGATGGTTGTGGTGGGTAGTGATGTTGCGGATGGTAAGCATGGGAGGGCGCCGCTGGGTACTGAGCCACTGGAGCCGCTAAGTGAGGAGGGTAATTGGGTTGATAATAGTACCCGGCTTGTTGTTGCTGGGTCTGCAATTGTCAAATTAGGGTTCTTATTAGTGTCTTTTTCTTTAGTAAATTTCTCAACCAGTGCCGGATCGGGCTTACCTGATGCTGGTAGTGGTTCGAAGAGCTCCACTGTTGACCTTCGTGTCGATCGTGAGCTCGGCTCTCCTGATTGTTTGGGTTTGGATGACCCTCGTGCACTGGTTGAGCTGGCTCGGCTCGCCGGTTGGGATGATCTGGTGGACATGGTGGTTGTTTTTAGGATGTGATGAGAAAAGACGGAAGAGAAAAAAATATAAGAAATCTGGAATCGATTCTAATTTGAATTCACAACTAGAGATAGATAGAGAAATAGACAAAAGAGGAAAGTGTATCAAGTGTTTCTCTTTTTGTATGGCTTACGGTTGTTTTGGGCAGCTTGTCCTTGGTTCGTTTCCACCGAGTTACCGTCTACGGAAGATTGAAGTGTTAGTCAGTTTCTTGAATACTGAGAAGGATAGATTGTGTAGGGTTTTTAAATCGAGCTTTATTGAATGCTCACTTTGGTGTTGAACTATCAAGTTCTCCGGTGGGGCTGCTTGTGATCTGACTTGATCTCTTGTCGTCTCTTCTGAGCACACGGAGTCGATTTCGATATTCGCTAATGGATCTTGAGGGATCGGTGTTGCAACTGTAGAATCTATCTCTATAGGTTCCTGCGTAACGTTTCCGTACGCGTCCTCAAAGTCAAGGACTGATCCGTCGATTGCTGGTGTGGAGCGATGAGTACGATCTGCACCTACAGATTGACGCCCAGACTGATCGTTCGGCGTGCCGTGGTTAGCAAGATCTAAAGAGTTGAAGATGTGTGGAAAAGACACTAATCGAAGAAGATGGGAAAAGAAAAAAAAAAACAAGAAGAGAAGGAAGAAAAAAAAAAAATAAGGTCAATATAAAGGTACTAAACGAAAAGAGTCGGAGGAATAGTAATGATCTAAGAGGATATCGTGATAAGAAGAAAAAAAATTTGTTACTTTTGATTCGGTAAATTACTTGAACTAAGTAAAAAAGTTTTTTAGATTTGATCGAGTTGGTTAAGTGAAGGTAGCAATTCGGTTTGTTCTCAAATGATTTGCTTGACGGAAATTCGAGGTGAAGATCACAGGTCTTCTTATACGAAAGAGATCTCTGATTGTCTCGGTCTTCGATGCGGTTGTATACGAGCGCCACTACGCGGATGATGTCGTCAGTCTTTCTTCGATGTAATGAATAGAAGTTAATGATGACTTACTCATCCACTTTACTTTTTTCAATCTTGCTGTTATTGTTTGTTCGATACCTCGTATGCGGATATAAGCTGGAATACTTTTCTTTTCTCTAATCGAATTTGTTGGATAGAACTTCCGATTGTTATTGATTCTGTATTGATTGTCTAAATGATTCTTTTTAAAAGAAATGGAATACGAGGTCAGGAGGAGAAAGAAAGAGAAAAAAATTAGATAGATTAATGGAATTTGTGGCTTATTTGCGTACTTACACTCTCTTATTGATTCTCCGATTACGGAATTTTTTCTCGAATTCTTGATTCTGTTTGGTTGCCGTCTCAATTTCTTGTCTTTGATCTGATTTTCGACTGATCGTCCAGTTATGATATCCTGAAAATGAAACGTTCCTTTGTTTGATTGTATGTGATTTGCTGATTTCGTTGGGGTAATGAAATTCAAGTACGTTGTATGTACTTGTAACTACGGTACCGACTCGTCGGTTCTGTTATGTGACTCCTGGGTTCTTTTCGATGGAATACTCGAAATTGGTATTTCAGAGTGTTACTCAAGGAAATACAACCACAACCAAACTGAAAAAATAAGAGAAAAAAAAATATGTTGAGATATGATTTTGATGAAATTATGATAATCTCCTTAAACTTTGAGAAAAAAATTATTAGATTTTTTGTGATATGTATTGGTCAAGGTGATTGGTGATCAATCACAATGCTTAATTGCTTGATGATTGTATTAGGGATATGAGTTAACTATTATTAGTTCAGTGAGATTATTGGTAATGAATCACACTTGTTCCTACAGTATAATGGTTTCTTATTCTTTGTCTAGTTATATGAGACTCACACTTTTGGTAAAAGTTGAGGTTGGTTTTTGGATTTCAACACGATGAGGCCCCCAAATGTGAGGGTAGAGGACTTAATTGAGGACTCTATGCTCACTAAATGGGTCAAGTATGGTAGTATTATTTTTATGTATAATGTTTATATTTCAATTATAATGTAATTACAATAAAAAATAAGACTAGGATGAGAAGAGGAAAGGGGAAAGGGTGGTCTGTTGGATAAATCCAGACAGACTACAGTTAAGAGACTCCTGAAGAGGAGGTTTGTAATTATAATATATAAATGTTATAATTAATGAAGGATGGATCCCACAGTCCTTCCTTTAATCTTTTAAGTAACAGATTAAAGAGTGAAATAAGGTCACTACACTGGTTGTTCTTAAAGTCACCAACTTATGGTTGTTCTTAAGGTCACCAGCCTGAAAGTACTTGTATGTAGGTCACTAGCCTTGGGTTGTTGGAAGGTCACCAACCTAAAATAGTTCCTACTTGGGGGAAGTAGAGGATCCAGGAGGAGTGAAGGTATTACTTACTTTTAATCAAGGAACAGATTAAAGTAATGAAGATATCACTAGTCTTATATTTATAAGACTCTTGATGTTACTTCAGTAGAACTTTAATGGTTCTTAAAAGTAGTGTGTAATAAATTGCTTGAGGGAAAATCCTTGAAGGCTGAGAGAGGAGGGGTTTATATATCCTCCTCTCCAAACCTAATTGTAGTGATATTTGATTGTATCATCACTGTGGTTTAGGGTTTAATACTTGCTATTAATTATTATTATTATTAATATAACATAATTACATATACGTGTTATGTATTTTATGTAGTATAAGCATTTTAACTCTTGACACTGAGTTATGAGGTGTAATTGGTATTTTATTACATGTTACATATGTTTTTAAGTTTATATACATATGTAATTGATGTTTGTATATGTTTTATTATATGTTACATGTGTTTTATGAGCTGTATGTACATGTAATAAGGTTTATAAGTAAAAGTACAATATTATAAGTTAGTTTTGGGTACATGTATATGTACTCAGGGCTGACAGCTTCAGCCTACCCTCATCTGGTCAATAAATACCCTGGCCTTCTTCAGGTCAGTTTCTTTTCTTCATCCGCTTTGTTCTTCATTTGTGGTGTCTAGCTCAAACTAGTTGTGTTCTCATTCTCGTATTGCTTTAGATTAATCATCTTACACTCACCTCAAAAACTCGATCATTAACCATGTGTCCCCCCACCCCCAGTGATGGTTCTCCAGTCCTTGAATCAAACAAATCACCTGCTCCTACCCCTACCCGTAACCTTCGTCGTCGCGATACTTTACCTTTACCGTCCCCTGGTTTTGTGTTCCAATCTAAGGATTCTCGCCGTGCTTTAGTTCCCCCTTCCAACTCTCACAGTCACTCTCCTGCCAACTCGTCCAACTCAGACAAATCTATGTCAATCTTGATATCCGAAGAGGCATCATCCAATCAATCTGATCAATCCAGCTGCGAGTCCGACGACTCAATGCTTCGTCAGGCCCGATCAAGAAAGGCTTCTACTTCAAAGAAGTCCGTTGTAGTGAAGAAAGGACAAAGCAGCTCTGGAAAACGTCGAAAGACCAGAGGTAAAGTTCCAGCCATGTTCAAAGCCAAGTCAAAGGTCCGACCGATTGTACCAGCTAAGAAGCGCAAGCGTCTCGCTGTTGAGGTGAGTGTTTCCTTTTTTTATCTTTCTTTCATTTGTTAATGTATTATTTCGACTCTCTATTTCATATTTAAATCCTAGGATGTCGAAGTACCAGTCTGCATCGACTTAGTCCAAAGCTCGGATGTTGAGGTTGTCCAATCCTCTGGAGTGCGCCGAGCACAATGTGCTCGAGTAGGTCATCTATTTGATTACTATCACCCTCCAGTCCATGTCAAAAAAGAGGTATGTGGTATTGATGTCTTAGTTTTCTTTTATCTTTTTTTCCTAATCGATTTCTCACTTTTTATTGTTTCTTCCTCATTATTTCAATTCAGACCGGGCCCGACCCCCGTGGATTCAAATGCAAGTTCTGCGATGGGATGTTTGTACGTGGCAAGAACAGCAATTATAATCTATACGGACATCGTGACGGCGCCAAAGATTGACCTGCTTGCCCAAATCGACACCTGGCCATCGAGGCAGGGATGGACCTACCTCGCACCTGGAAGCAACAGCAAGCAGCTCAGGCCCCAGTTGTAACAGGTACATTAGGTACTTTAGACTCTTTCTTATCCCGGGCAACCTTTAGTCTCGATCTCCTCAACCATGTCATGGTCATATGGATCCTGCGTCATGCGCTTGCATTTGCTCGTTTTGAAGATCGGATCCTGCGTGCGGCCTTCAAGCTTTCGAATCGACAGGCTACCTTGAGAACTCCCAAGTGGGCAGCATCCATGTCCAAGGAACTATATGTTGACCTTAGTTTGTCAGTCATCAAAGAAATTCAGGTGGGTGACTTTCTCATTTCCTTTATCTTGATCTCATTTCCTTTATCTTAATCTCGTTTCCTCTTTTTCTTTCCTTTATCTTAATCTCGTTTCCTCTTTTTCTAATTTATCTGATCTTATGTTCTGTTGATCACATTTTTCAATCTGATCTTTGACAAACAGGATAACGATGCTCGCTTTTGTTTACTCCACGATGTGTGGACTACAAAAGGCAGCAAGTATGCCTTCATTGGGGTTTCAGCTAATTACATCGACAAACAGTGGACCTATCTTGTGACATGGAATCATTACGGTGTGCTTCTTGCTCAGCCAGTCGCACACTTCCTTATGAAGCATGATCTCCACAAGAAGATAAGTAGTTTCCCTTATCTTTCCTATTGATTAAAATCATATACTGACTTGAGATGGTGTTCTCTCCTTTTGTACTCTTACTTATTAGCTCAAACCACAGACTCTGGCTCGAACAACATGACGATGGCAGCAGAGCTTGAATCTGTTTTTGCAAATGCTGAAGACCCGGTTTTATGGGATTCAGACGCTAATCATGTACGTTGTTATGCTCACAAGTTAGGCCTTGTGGTTAAAGAAGGACTCAAGACGCTTGGTATCAAGACATCCAAATCAAAGCCTTCAAACCCCGACATGTTGATGCCGATTCCAACCATTCGAGTTCAAACAGCTGATAACGATGATGAGGATATTCAATATAGTTCAGATGAAGATGACTATGATATACCTCCTCATGCGCGCAAATGTTCTTCTGAAAATGATGATGATGTAGACTCAGATGATGAGATTGATGACAAAGCGTGCTCCGTAATTCTTGGGTATCAGAAGGTATGTTTACTTTCCCTTTTTGTGATTTCCTGTTTTTCCTCTCATCGTTTGATCTGCTTACTGACAATCAATTTATCCAAATCAGGCCAAGAAGTTCAATAAATTCTTATGTCAAAGTGGTGCACGTCGAGGTGAATTCAAAGGTAAGTCGTCCCAGCTTGGCTATCAGGGACCTCAGCCCATTCCTGGGTGGGGATTACGCTGGAACATCAATCTGGATGTGTCCAATCGATTGTGCTTAGCCTGTGATGTGAGTAGACTACTCACCTTTTGATTTCTCGTATTCAATTTCCAAAACTGACCAGCAATCGTTTCAGGTGGCCGATGCAATTATGACTTCTGATCGTAAGACTCGGTATTATCAGGGCCTCTCCATTTCTCCTGAAGAATGGGATGCCCTTGAGGTTTTGAATCAAGTATTGGAGGTAAGTTGAGCTACATTTCGCCTATGTTGATTTTTGCATTGATGTTTTTTTTGTTTTCTTAGGTTTTTCGTGTGTCAACCAAACACATGGAAGGTGATTTCCCATCAGGTTGTATTTTATTACCAGAGTACCATCGTACTATCACTTCCCTCGAGTCGATCGAGGCCTCGACCGAATTCAATTCCATACGCAACATGATCAGTCACATGCTACCCAAACTCCGCCAATATCAACACGAGGCATCACGCTGCAACACAATCCTGGTGGCCACTGTTCTGAATCCTCAACTACGTCTCAAGATATTTGAAATTCACTACCCCGACTATCTTGAAGAAGCTAGATCGGCAGTCAAGAGACACTTTGATCACGCTTTATCTTGCTGGCCAATCACCCCACCCTCCTCCCCCTCTCCTAGTGTTTCTCAACCTACCGATACACTTTCATACGGGTATGACCTTTTTGTGGCGACTCACTCCTCTGCTGATGGTACTAAGGCTCGCAAAGCGGAGTTGCAAAGGTACTTGGATGGCCATGATGCAGTGGCACCTGGTCAAACTCCTTTGAGTTGGTGGAAGGTGAGTTTTTAATTTTGTATCATCTTCACTCTATTGTTGTCATATCAATCTATGTTGGTTTCTTTGCTCAGGCTCATGCCTCTAAATTCCCGGTCCTTGCAACCCTAGCTCGAGAATACCTTTCGGTCTCTGCCACCACTTGTGCAGTGGAACGAACCTTCTCCTCTGCAGCCGATATAGCCACACCAACTCAAGGTGCTTTATCCCCAACCACAATCACTAAGCTTGTAGCCCTTCGTGAATGGTTGAAAGCTGAACGTTTGGACAATGGTGGCAAGTTTTCTGAAGCGTTATCTTATGTTTACGCCTTTGAAAAGGAATCGGTCAAAGGCAAAGGCAAGGAGTCGGTTAAAGGCAAGGGCAAGACAACGGAGATCTGATTCATCCTTTGTTACAATTTAATTGATCTCATTCATCCTTTAGTTACAATTTACTTTTTCAATACACTCGTTTGTTTTCACTTTTTTCTCCATTTACTTACAATACTTTGTTCATCTTCAACTTCAACTTCTTCTTTCTTTTTTCTGCCCTTGTTTTTTTTTCAAAATAGTATTATTTCATTACACTCGTTCCTAACCAGTTTGTCTTTAACTTTACACCTTTTTATCAGCTTGATTGCTTTTTAACTGGCTTTTTACAGTTGTCATTTTTTTCTCTTCTCTAATTTTTTTTTCTCTACACTCGTTTGTCGCATGTTAATCATCAATATTAGGTTATTTTTCATCAAAACTTTGCTACCCCGTGCCCATACCCACTCTGACCACTATGAGAAGCCCAAGTTTGTGAGAGCGTTGTGTTGCGTTGTGGTTTTCCGCATCGCAAGGAACTTGCCATAGCGGTCGATTTCATATATCGTAGCGATTGTGATTAGGCCATTGCGGCAAATCACAACGCTATGAAATCTGGCGGATATATCGGTGCGTAGCGGAGCGGGTCAGATATTGATCAAAGGCACTTTTTGATCTAGACTTATTGCTCCAGGTCTGAGAAATTGATATACGGAAATATGTTTTCATACAAAGAAATCGATTTTACTGCTTCCTTAATCCACAGGATAATGATGTACTTGATTTGTTTCATACAACACTTCCGGAGTTTATTCTTCACTTCAAAAGGACAGAGGTGGGTGAAGAACTGAACTCGAGTCGATTTGGATACTCACCACTTTGTAGACGTCCATAGGACACAAGACATTCAAAGAAAGCAAAGCAACAGGAAGACGGAATAGGTCGTAAGG